TCGTCCCTGGCCCTCTGTTCCCTCCACCCACACGCACAGTCTCTGGCACAGACTGGCATGGTGAACCAGGGAGAGTGGGGAAGATGATGATCTCTGTCCCGACCCAGGTGGGTCCTGCTAGCTGCCACCTGTGTTTCCTGTCTATGGCTCCCATCTGCCCACAGCGCTGCTCCCCACAAGACCATGCATGGGACCCTGGAGGGCCGAGGCCTGGTGGAATTATTCATGCTAACACTAACGTCACTACCACTAGCTGTGGAGCCCAGGTTTAAGCACTAGCTCATCACGTGACTGGTTGAATGCCAGTCCCTCCCAGGCCCTTCATCCATGGCCATAGGACTTTGTCTATCAGTTTTGTGTGGCTCCCTGTGGCAGCTCATCTGGTGCTCATGGGGTACCATGGCTACTTCAGAGGCAAGATGACATTGACCTGTGCCACATAGGCAGTCCTGATGTGGACATCCCAGACGATTCACCAGGGCATGGGTGGCTACAGCACAGGCATGACTCTGGGCCTCCACCTCAGGCCACTTGGAACCCAGAAAGCATAGGAGAACTCCCTCTCCACAGCTTTTGGCTTCTTCATGGGCTTCAGGGACTGGGGCTGACCAATGGCTTATCCTTGTGGCTCCTGTCTGCTGAGTAGCAGACCTCTGCCCCTCACTTCACTATCAAGACAGGACACTTAACCACATGAGCACCACAGTCCCTGCCCAGGCATCTGGACGTTCAGGGTGGGGCACCATTTGGAGGGGTCTCTTGAGGGGCGAGAATCTGGAAGGAAAATTGCAAGTGGATTCAACCCATTGAGCCTCTGGCCCAGGCTGCAGGGTGGGGAGGGTGGCCCTGGGGTTGAGAGGCAGCCCCTGCAAAGGTTCAGGGGAGCCACAGGCCCTGGAGGCAGAAATCTACGCAACGGGTGGTATGGGGTGGTGAGGCAGAGCCACGGCCCCAGTGGGGAGCAAGGTCTTGATGTCTAGGGTGGGGGAGTGGTCTGATGTGCACTGTGGAATGTGGACCGTGGCTGCCTGGGAGCTGGATGGGCAGGTGATGCTGATGCAGAGAGCTAAAGGCAAGGATACTGGCCGCAGCCTTGTGCAAGGGCTTCGTGCCAAAGGAAGAGTCTTGGGGCACTACAGGAACCATGTGACTTGAGTCGGTTTCTACCCTTGTTCTAGGACCCAGAAGACCAAAGGTGGGCTCTCCCAATCACTGGAGGTGTGGTTGGTTACAAAAGGTGTCAAAGCCAGAAAGTAGACGCAGGCAGAGTGGCTGGCCTTGAGGTCCACCCACAAGCCTGGCTGACCCTGACTCTAGGCCATCGGGACACCCTGCTCACACCCAGCAGGCTGACATCAGGACTGAAGACAGGCAGCAGGAAGCACCAGAAGTTGCTGAGTGTCCAGGCCACGGGGCATTGATGAGGCCCTCCAGTATCTTCCCACCAATTCCCGCGGTCCCTTACATACCATGCCCTCGCCCCGCAGGGCCCCGCTGACGAGAAAACAGATCCGTTCTTGGCGGTGGGGGTCTCATCCATCTCACCAAGGTCTGTTTCTCTTCACATGCCCTTCTTCCTCCCCTCCCAGCCTCGCCAAATTCGGTGTTTAAAAATAACCCAGAAATCTTAGAGCAGCAGTCCCCAGCTGACCCGTGGAGAGGGTGGGCCGTGGTGGTGTGTGCCGACCATGATCCTGGACCCTGTCAAACCTCAGCCAGGGAAGTTCCACATCACTCAGGGGGTTTTATTGTTGGCGGGAGAGCTACCATCTTAGGCAGCTGACTGGCTTTCAAAGTGCTGGAACACACAAGGATAAATCTTGGAGGAGCTGGCGCCATGCGCTCCCTGGGAGGCCGCACAGACCTCCACGCTGTCTTGGCACTTAGAGGTAGAATGTTCTTTGCCTCCCGTCTTGGGCTGTGTGAGATGGCTGTGTGAGATGGGGCAGGTTACTTCACCTCTCTGAGCTTTCATTTCCTCTTGGCTGAACTGGTCTGCATGTATTAGGTTAGTATGAACATTAGCTGAGATGATACTGTGATGTGCAGAGCGGAGCATGCTCAGTGAAGACCCAGCCAGCATCAAGCAGGTACCCCTGGGGTGTCACAGCCCTCAGAGGCAGGACAGAGGGGAGATAAGCCCTCTCTCAGTCCCTGCCCTTCTCCAGTGGAGTAAAATCCAGCAGGTGTCACTTTCTGCATGTCCCAGGTAGGAGTAGCTTACTGCGTGATGCTCCCTCCCTGGCAGGGCGTTCAGTCCTGGTTTACTGCTCTGAGGCCAGACCCAGGTGGGGGCTGACGGCTAGGTTGGACCATGGAGCTGAAACTATTGAGACTTCAGGCTGGCTCCCAGTCAGACTCAGCCACACGGTCACTTACCGTGGGCAGGACCTGCTGGGACCACAGGCTGAAGTGTACACAGTTGGCCCTGAGGGCAGCAGCATGCCGCTATCCCTGTGAGACCTGAGGATCTGAGGCTGGGATCCTGTAGGGCCAGGATTCCCACAGGGCCTGGGAACCCTAAGCTAAGCCCCCTGTTTGGGCCCTGCAGTCAGGACCTAGCCCAGGACCCTTCTGGCCTGACAGAGGAACCCAGGGATGAGCCCTCAAAAGTCCAACTGTGGGCACCAGGAACAGCCCACCTTGTGGACTTCCTCCTCCATGTGCTCAGAGCCAAACCCAGGGCCTGGTCAGTCCTCCAAGTGCTGGGATACAGGAGCCCACATCTCAGAGGAGGCCAATGGCATGCATTTCCCAGAAGGCCTCACAGGCCCTGGGTGCTATGGGAAGGAGAGTGAACTCAGTCCATTTTGGTGGAGGAGAACCTACCCGGGGAGTAAGGGAATTAATGCATTGGTTTCAGGAGAGCTTGAGATTCCACGGGTCTGGGTGGAAAGGGTATGTTGAATAAGGGCAGACATCCTAGAGGGGGCAGTAGGTCTGTGACTCCAAGATGGCAGCAGGGCTTGGACTCACCCGAGCATGAATGACAGCCTCGGCCCCAGCCAATATACTGGGCCTTTGAGAGGAGTGGAAGCTGAGAGGTGGGTTGAGGTGGATGCCTAACAGTTCTTAGATTCAGCTTCTCCCCCAGCCCCTCCCTGATACAGAGAGAGAAGTGGGGCAGCCCCGCCCCCACAGGCCTGAAAGTGTGGGGGGCGGGGGGGGGGGGGGGGGGGGGCACCTGAATGCCCAGCCAGCCTCTCCAGGCCGCTCCTTCTCTGAGTCTGCAGTGCCCCCTGGGTGGCGTGGGTATCTCAGAGATGCTTTCCCCTCACAGTGCGTTTTTCTCGGAGCTGACCCTGTGGGTTTCCATACAGAAATCTTTCCTAAGTGCCCTCAAAGGCCTTAATCTCTGCTCTTCCTCCCAGGAGGGCCGGGGCAGGAGGCCAAGCTCAGAGCAATTAAGCAGCTTACAGCTTTAAGAGGAAATAGAAGGGGGTACACAGCTCCCCCCCACCCACCGCAAGACTCATAGGAGCTATGCCAATGCCACCACCAGGACTCACGGTGCTGAGCTTTGGTGACATTTGTCTGACCGTCAAGCTTGTCCCCTCTGCCCAGGGTCAGCACCTGTCCCTAGAGGTACATATATGTACCCCAAGACCCATGCTACCGGGAGAAGGGCTCTTCACTTATATGCCTGACCTAGAGCCAGATGCCAACCTCTGGATCACCCCGGGGGCCCTCAGCCAACCCTGGCTGATCCCTACGGAGGCAGAGTTCCCTGGGTCCCGCCTGAGTTGGGGTCCCTCTGCCCTCTGTGGCCAGGTGGAGAGTGCCTGAGGGCAGGGGTGGTACCAAGTTGGCTGCAGAAGGTTGAGTAAGGGTTGGGGACTGTATGGGTTGAGAGAGGGGGGCCCCCTGGGCGTGGCCCTTCCTGTGCTGAACTGTGTTTTTGACAGTGCACTTGGGCGTCGTCCCTGACTGTCCTTGGGATGCTGATCCTTGCTGTGGAGACACTAGAACCACATGAAGGGGGCAGGAGTCTGCCCTGATGATGGCAGGGATGGGGGTGTACAGCCAAGGTCTGCTACCTAGGCGCCATGTCGACCGGTGGTCGCCAAGGTCTAGGTGCCTGTTTCTGCATTTGCCCTGAGTGAGAGTGAGCTGGATCACTCTCCGTTGTATTTCTGGGTCTGTCTTACTTCACCAGGCACAATGGCCAGCAAATTCTTCCATATTGTGGAGTGTTTCAGAGGCTTCTTCCTTCCATTTTTTTTCAATAGTGGGACTTGAACCCAGGGCCTTGCACATACTAGGCAAGCACTCTACCACTGAGCTGTATTCCCCCAGCTCATTGCCTTCCTTTTTTAAGGCTGAGTAGTATTCTACCGTGTACATATATGTGTGTTGTTAATTCCCTCGTATCTGTGGAGACTTAGGTTATTTGGACTGCTGTAAATAAAGGCTGTGGGTATGGGGGGGGGCGGGGGCGCTGTGAGTACACAGTGGAGCCTGTGCTGTGTTCCAAGTCTCCCGGCATCGTCTCTTGCTTGCCTGTGAGTGCTGTGGCTTCCACAGTGGGACACATACCATCGGAGAAGGCTTCCTCCTCCACCGTTTGCTTTCTCTTTAAGCGGCTGCTGTGTCCCTGGTGCCTAGACGGGTGGCCCCGGTCCGTGTCTACTTGCAGAAAGGTTAATGGAAGTCATCCTCAGAGAGCCAGCCGGGAGGCAGGGTCTCAAGCCCCGAGGTGGCAGAAGTAGCAGACTTGTCACCCCCCTCCGCCTGGACGCTTTGGTTGGTGATTTCACCACCTGAGCCATCGGCATCCTTTGATTAAGTCTCATTTTGCCGTGAAAAGCAAAGGAGGTGACGGGGCTGCTGGGGGAAGGTCATTCATTCCAGAGAGGAAATTGGATGGAGGTGTTTCCATCCTCCATCCGCCCGCCCGCCCCGGCTCCCCCGAAAGCCGCTGCCTGTCTGCTGTCCCTCCTCTGCGGGTAACAAAGCAAGAGTGGGGAGACAGTTGCCGCGACTCTCTGTGTCTCCCACAGGCAGCGCCGGACGGGTCAATGCCAGCCGGATGATGACCAGTTGTGGCCAGCGGTCCCGGAACGCGCTCGCAGTATTCTCCCTGCTGTTTCCTGCAGGTAAAACCTCCGTGGGGCTCCGTGGCTAGCGGGAAGTGTGGGGGGGGTCCCTTCCAGAGTGGGGCTGCATCTGGGGTTCTGTATGCCGACAGGGCAAGGGTACCTTAGTCTCCTGATGCTGTTCTCCGTCAAGGGGATGAACTGTTGGATGCTGGGGGCAAAGGGGCTGCCCAGGAGCCTGCGCTCACATTTGTTCCCCTAGTTCTGCAAGACAGAAAGTAGGCAATGCCAGTCTACCACTTTGATAGGTGAGAAACTGAGGCTAGAGACCATAGCTAGCAGAGAGGCCAGGATTCAGACTCCGGGCACTGGAGCCACACCCTCCTGATCCTAGTCAGTCCCTGGACAGAAGCTGCAGGCAAGCTTGGCCTCAGTAACCAGACCCTCCGCGCCTCCAAACTAGACCCGAGCCAAGAACAGAGGCAGCCCAGCTGGCCAGCCAGGACCTAGTCCGAGTCTGGCCCTGCACAAAGGCTCTCGTGGCCCCGTCTGTCTGTCTGTCTGTCTGTGCCTCACACTCTCTCCTCCTCTGTCTCTGTGCCATTCTGTCTCTTTGTGTATTTTCCACCTCTCTATGTGTCTCTCGGTTTCCTTCCTATGTCTCTCATATCTCTTTCTCAGTTGTGTGTCTCTGTGTCTTTCTGTCTGTTGTGTGTGGCTCTCTCTCTCTCTTCTCTCTGCTACTCCCCCACACGGTGGCCACGCCATTGATCAGGACTGGTGGCTTCCTTCCCTCACCCTTTGCTTGGGGTGTAGCTCAGAGGGAGATTGTGAAGGGGTGGGGTGGGGACAGGACTCCCAGGAGAGAAGAGTTGAGGCTAAGCTGAGGCCAGAGTCTGGGGCCACCCCCACTCCAAGCTCTTCCCCATGTGATGGGGGGAAGGCTGGTCCTCACCTCCCCAGCTCTTCCCCATGTGATGGAGGGAAAGCTGGTCCTCACCTTCCCAGCTCTTCTCCATGTGATGGGGGGAAGGCTGGTCCTCACCTCCCCAGCTTTCCCCATGTGATGGGTGTGTGTGTGTGTGTGTGGCTGGTCCTCATCACCCTGGTTGTGAAGAACCAGTCCCTTTTTGTCACTACTGAGGTCAGGGACTCAGAGAGGCAAGTGGGTGGGGGTCACACAACTGGAGACGGTCTGACTCCAGAGTTGGGGTTCGCCATGCTTCACACAATTGCTAGGATGCTGGAACCCACAAGAGCTGGAGGCAGTGAGTCTGCACCTCAGGGTGCGCAAGGAGCTCCTTGTGGCCCCCACCACAGGGGTGCTGATCTTTCTCTAAGAGCTTGGGGTACCACCCTCTACCTGGGCATCCACCCAGCCATCCTGGCCCCAGCCCAGGGCTCCTCTGTCCCTGGGGGAAGCCGCAGGGTCTTCTGATCACCGGCAAATGACTAAGGCCGGTGGCCATAGCATCCAGGGATGGCTATGGGACTGTAACATGGGCCCTGGGCAGGACCTGCCCCTCTCACCTCCGCGTCCACCATTGCCTCTGCAGAGGCCTGACAGCCTTCTGCTGTGTCTCATGGCCGAGAGGCCAGTCCCAGAGCCAGGCTTGCTCTTTCAGGTGGCACTCTAGGTGTGTCCAGCATCCCCAGGTGCCCACACTGAGCACACAGAGCCACAACAGGGCTTCAAGTCACGCAGGAGTCACGGGATTTGACCGCGTTCCTCTGTCCTCTCACCGTTAATGCCACTGTGTGCAGTTGCTCAGGGGCAGTGGTTCCAAGCCCAAGCACACGGACATCCCCGTGGCAGGGGCTTGTCAGAATAGATTGACCCCCCCCCCCCCCCCCCCGCCCCCCCCCCACCCAGAGCTCTGTGCTGTGAAGGGGCCAAAGAGCCTCCATATTCTGATGAATATGCTTGGTGAGCCAAGGCTCTGAGCCTCACTTTTCTCTTCTGTATGGTGGGAGTAGATGAGATGTCTCCTTGGGGCATCACACCAAGTGGCCTCTGTGTCCCTGGGCAGGCTCTTCTCAAGAACAGGAGCGGGCTGGAGCCTGGAGAGCCACTACCCCCCCCCACCGCCCACCCACCCAGCTTGTGTCCACCAGGAGGAACTATCCTTCAGGGAAGGGCCTTTGGAGCCAGCCTAGGTGCCAGCTCTCAGGGTGCCCGCCCCCCTGCCAGCTGGTCCGCTGGGGTCCCCTGCGGTGGCGCTGTGTGGGCTGCAATCTAATAACCTCTCAGCCGACAACGCTTCTTGTGGGAGCTCTAAGAAGCCAGGGCCTTTGTGCCTGGGAGATGCCTGCGCCAAGAAGCCCCTTTTTAGCGATACAAATTAGATACAGTGAGCCCTTTATGAAGATACTAATTAAGCCAGAGGCAGCCGCTCCAGCTTTTCCATTGTTGTTTCGTTCGTATTCAGTCCTGTGGATTACCATCAGTTAGTTCATCCTGGTTTGCAGCAGCAGGGGCTGAACAGGGGCCTCTTTCTGTGGGCCAGGAGTGGGGAGGATCTGGGGCCAGCGCAGCCCTGTATGTGTGGGACCCAGATAGGTCCTAGCTTGGGTCTGGGGCAACAGCTTCTAGAATGTGAGGTACAGGGGAGCTGGCACTTTCAATGCAGGTGGACCCTAGGTCCTACACCCCTATGCAGCCTGACACCCAGGAAAGCCTGGCTCACACACACACACACACACACACACACACACACACACACACACACACAGAGAGAGAGAGAGAGAGAGAGAGAGAGAGAGAGAGAGAGAGAGAG